ATTCTTTACCAATAATACGCAAACCACTGGGTATACCATGACGGATCAGTATCTGGTGGTACTTGCGCTGGTCAATTATTTCATCTGTTTTGCAAATATCTCCAGTTGCCTCAACAGAAAAACACCCCAAACCATCACACTATCTTCCCTATGCTTCATGGTTGGTGCTAGGCATTGGGGTAAGTATCTTTGACCTTTCTTCTGCCGGATGTCTAACCTACGCTTTGAACCAAATATTTTAAACTTGGACTCATCTGTCCATAACATCCTTTTCCAATCATCAGCCATCCAATATTTGTACTTTATAGCAAATATTAGTCTCTTGAGAATATTTGGAGATTGAATTCAAGCTTTTTTAACTGCTACACAACAAATATTCTATTCTCATTGAGTTTTATTGATACAGTTGATCTGGATAGTTTTCTGTCATTTGGTACTTGGTAGTTTATCTTATGCTTGAGATAAGTGGTAGTCTTCCTTCAGTCCCAAAGGCTGCATAAAAGGAGATATTTAACATCAGTGTCATTGAGTTTAGGTTTTCTGCCATCTTTTTTTTCCTATTTTCAAATTTACCTGTCTTGGTCTCATGATCTATGGTGTACTTGAGAGTGTTTGGGGAACATTTCAAGGTCTGCAGCAATTTCTTAGAGAGTCCAACCAGCATCATGTAAAGCTTTTATGTGGACTCTCTGCTCTACTAACAATTCCTTATGCCTTTTGGGCTGTTGCATGACAATAAAACTTAATAAATAGTGTTAAACAGTGCCTTTTATCAAGGTTTATTTATGGAGTACTATTAAATTGATTTCTTCTCACATATACCAGTACCATATGTAGCTTTTTTCTATATAGTTAAGACACTGCATGGGGTTCCATGACAGTTATTTCAGATCCTAAGTTTGATCAGTAAGTTCATTCAAGCAGAAACCTTATGACATGCCCTTGGTACAAGTGTATGGGAATTCTAAAGAAGGATAAATATTCTCACCCTGGCTCATTCAATTGTCAACAGGGATCACTGAAGTGTTATTGTAGTGTTGAAATTTACATTCTGTAATGGCATGCTTATTACTACAATTAAGTATTTTTTTCTAGGCCTATACTATGTATTGGATCTTGTCTACTTTTAAGTCTGCACACTCTCGTGCCATAAAAAAAATAAAATAAAAACCAACCTTGCTTGTATATTGTTGCAATGCTTCTTACATATCTTGCATACTGTTTTTACAACTTTTTCTCCAGTGTCATCAATAACAAAATCGTACATATCTTTAGGATCAAGTTCCCAATTATTAAAAGCTTTCTTTGAGATCGTTTTGCCAGTATTTTTTAAGTCATCCATGACGATCAACTGCATGAGTCGATGCATGTGCTAGCATTCCCTAATAACAGGTTACCAAAAATGATGTTTAAATAGCGAGTGTTCTGTTTGGAATAATATGAGTTTGTTATCTTATAGATGAAATAACATGTTTAAGCATTGGATGTTTACATATATTGTTGGCAGTGTTTGGCTGTGAATAATTTGAGTTTGTTGAAACATATATATAAAATACGTTTGAACATCGGACGATTATGTATACTATCTGCAGTATTCGCTTTTGCATATATTTGCTTCCATAGCAAAACTATTTATTAGTTCAATGCTCAAACTCTGTTTTGCATAATGATTTTTCTTGCAACTTTGGCTGCTGAATACCCACTATATTACATATGCACATCTAGATATAAACATTTCTGCTATAGATCAACCATATAAACTTCATGAACAAATTTCTAATTACTTGAATTTTTGGAACATTTTGGGCAAATCCGAACAGATTCTTGAAATTGATATTTTACGCAAATTGATTCACATCAAAATTCTAGCCCTGCTATTGGGTCAAAATAGAGGAAAACCTATTTAGTGTGAGATAATTCAATTTTCTTAGTTGATTTTCCGCAATCATGTTTTTTAGGGAAATCATTGAAATGTGAGAGAAACTGCACAAAAAAAGTTACTTTCCCATGAGGGAAATTAACATTTTTGGAACATTTCACCCACTGATAACAAACATTTAGGTTGTAGGAACATCAGCTGATTTTTATGTAGTAAATAAAGAAGGTGTTATAAAATGAACTGGATATAGCCTGAAGCTTGTCTGTGGGCCTTAAGCCATGCAGCAGTAATGGAATAAAGATATAACTGAGTTATAACCTATTTGTGGAACATGAAATGTGACAATGTCATGAAATAGCTAGTAGTGTACATGTTATCATAAGATATATACCACTAGGGATTATACTTCATTCCCAAATACTTTCCTTTTCTACATTTGTAATGCTATTTTCAAGAAAAAGGCAGTACAGCTAAACCTTTGGCTATTTTTTTACCTTTTCTGAAAGACTGTTTATGTGGTCTACATTGGTTTTATCTGAAAGCTACAGCTAGACGGTTTATGGGAAGTGTTATAATCTCTCCAGTTGGGTTCAGGACAGAGCAAATGTATATTCAAGGTTTAAATAGCATGGTTTCTGGAAACTGAAATATTAAAAAAGGAGGTATACTTGAATATGGTAAATATTTAACCTACTATTTGGATTTCAAAATACAAATTTTTAATATAGATGTTAATCATCAGAATAGTGCATTTTAAGATAAATACATGGTGTCCTTGTGTGAGATGAGGTATACAACATCTCAAGGTAGAAAAACTGTTGCAATTAACATCTAGATGTTCAGCACATTTTCCTACTTTTATGCAAACTTATCAACTACATTTACAGTTTCCGTAAGCTTCAACACATTCACTGCAAGACTGAACACTTAACCTTTTGCAATAAAAACTTCCTTGCACTGCAATGTTGTGGATACATTGACAGGGTATTTTCTTCAAATGATGTACTCATCTGAGCCTGAAATCTTTTTTCTCTAACTTTCACATCTGAACTGAGATTGGTATCTTGTAGTTTGTCTACTTTTGGCTGCCAGTGTGGGTTGTCCATCAGATTGGACATGGTACATGAAAACCTGATGTTTCAACAGCAGTTTCTTATTCTGTAGCTTCAGTAAGATGAGAATTTCAAAAGTTTCAGTATTTTAAAGTATTATAAAGAGGATTTTATATTACTTTGCAAATCTGATCTGAATCAGATATTATCTTGTTCAGTACATGATTAATAATTAATAAGTGCTCACTTCACTGCAAAATATGTATTGCTACAACATTCTTAGAACTGGTCATAGTACATTGCCCACAGCAACAGGATATGTTCAGGTTCATATGGATCAGAATATTTCTGATAACAGTGGTGTTGGGAAATGAGGCCACTAAAAAATGAGGAGGTTTAGGGACATAGGAATATGTGACAAGGCAAAACCAGTGGCCACTAAAGTTATACAGGAAAAAGTTGAAAAGAAGTTTGGCTTTGACAGAGAAGAGATGCTACTTGGCGAAGTGAATAATGACCTTATCAGTATGCTGATGCAGTACTGGGATGCAATGTCTTAGATGTGATTGGAATCAACATTTTCTGAGATGGGTATCTAATGAAGACCAGTGTTCTGGTAGGCATGTCTTATATGTCATGAAATTTTCAGAACCATATTCTTACGGAATTAACTTTAATCTGATTGCTAGTTTATTTGTATATCTTTTGTGATACATACGTATACTTTGGGGTTATCCTTGCTTCTGAGTTTCAGCATGTGGATGAAATTATCAATATCACCTGATCCACAATGTAAAACAAGCTTTATTTTTCTAAATATTCAACTACATTTAACAATTTCCTAACTTTTCCTTCATGTTGCAAGGATAAAGATTTCCATGGGTTTTAATGAAAATGATTTAATCTTTCCAGGCTAGTCTTTAGAGATGAGTACTGGATCTTTGCAATGTTAATTAAAGTTATTGTTTTAGAAGTATAAATATATGTATATATGGTTGTAGCCTACTATTTGATATAAAAGACAAATGGAATGATAGCTCACAGTTATTAAGAACTTGCATGTTATATAGATCAAACATAGTTTTATTTCATATTCAGAAAAGTCACATTTTTCAATATGGACATTATAAACAAGGAACAAGCCATGATTGTGTATATTTTTTCCTATAGATAAATATGCATCTCAGTTTGGAAGTGGCAACCAGTATGCATATTTCCATGAAGAGGACGAAAATACTTTTCAGTTAGTGGATACAGCAAAAGTGTATAAACCTCTCCATCAGCGAGGCAGGTTTAGGATAAATCAGGTACAATATATTTTGTCCACAAAATTTTAAACAATGGTAAGGAGTACATAAGTTTGTAAAATGAAAACCTTTGAAGTATGTTAATATATAAAAAACAGTTTCATGAATTTACAAAGCATTGCTATAAAAAGTATTACTAATGTGTATTGATTAATTTTATACTAGTGTGAAGCAAATATTTTGCTTTAAAAGGGAGTAACAGAAAACTGTCAAATGATGTTGAGGAAAGTTTCAGCTTTTAATATATAGTTACCCCACTTATCTGTGATAAAAAAAATCTTTGCCTTCAGTATACGCCCTCACCCATCACTAAATTATGTTTGAGTGTATATATATAATGTTTCCAAAACATACCTACCTCCTCTACCACTACAGCTATTACTTGACTGCCAGGGTTTCTACCTTTGCCTATCTAAGCATTAGTCTGATTTTTTTTCTTGCTTGCTCCAGTTTTGTATACCCCAATTAATTTCCCTAGATATTCTGGAGAGAATTTAGAATTGCTTTTTCCTGTCCCTTCTTTTCTTCTGTTGGCTTCTGAAATAACCAACCAACCAGGACTGGTTCTTGAACAATATAATTTTAAAAAAGGATAAACTGCCTCTGATTTGTTTTATTCAGTTGGTTCATCGAATGTGTGATATTTTGGGTCTTTCCCTGGTTGCTTATAAGCCTACTCTTTTCTTGATGGCTGAAAGGTTTGGGAGCGATTATTTAGTTTTCTCTCCATCCACAGATGTTGTGTCTTGCAGGGAGGTTTCTGCTCAGTTACGTAAAGGGACAGCTATGCCTTATCTGCCACGGTTGTTGGAAATATATGATTTAAACTACCACTGCTAGGTGGAAGCATATTCTGACTCTCAAATAATACATTTGTTCCTCGAAATTAGGGGTTCTAAGGCAGAGCTTGTAGTTAACCTGAATAGATCAATGTTCCCTAGTAGTACAGGGGTTAGCCTGCAGATTTACAACTCTAAAATCCAACGTGTTGTTTTCCTAACAATAAATGTTGTTGGAAGACTCTCAAGATCACCAACTTTATTGATGACAAGCTGGAACTACAGGTTCTTGAATCAGGATTAGTCTTCTGTTTACATCTTCACTGCCATTATCGACTCAGCTTATCAGAGTTTGGTTGGTCTGTGAATAGAGAGAGAGTTGTGCTAGTTCTTCCGGGGTTTTATTTCCATCTGTTGTTGGCCTAAGAAGACAGGAGGTTGATGTCCAGTCATCAATCTTCCTTATCTGTATCAATGTCTAGATTCCCCAAGGTTCACAGATGAATCATTCCTCAATCTGAGTTGGCTTTTTTTTAAACTAAGATTGTGTAATTCTAAGTTTGTTGGAGTTGGCTCATACCTGCACACTGCCATAGTGGTGGCATCCCACCACTATCAGTTTTTTGTGCACAAGGGTCAGGTCTTGCAGTTCAGGATTTTTACCTTCAGACTAGCATCAGCACTACATGGGTTCTGCTGAATTATACAAGCTTTTTCTCATCACTTCTATTCTCTAACCCCATGCACACATCATTCCATGGTTACTGCTGGCACCATCTCATCAATTGTCAGAATGTCATACCTGGATTCTTCTTTCAGAAACAACCAAGACAGGCTTCATTCTCAGAGCTGAGACATCTGTTCTTGCTCAAACTCATTATGTCATCAGTGTGGGTATTTTTTGTCATCACGTATATTGGTCGGGCTCAGCTAACTCCCATCTGGCTCCATTCTATGGCACAGGAAGCCCAACTCTTATTCACCTCTCATTCTTCCACTACATGGATGGTTCTTTCTCTTTTGGGAATGTGGATATTACTTGAATCCCTTATGCCTTTGGGATGAGTGCACTAGAGATCCTTTCAATGGTCTTTATGCAAACAAGGGATCATATACATCGATTCACTGGATTCTCCAGTTTCCTTATTTAGGATCATTCTTAGATCTCAAGATGCTACTACGGTATGGATTCCTCTGCTGCCACCTCATCCAGTAATCTATCTCTTCACAAACTGTCTCGCTTTAGGTATGTGGTGCATATCCCAAATGTCAAGAATTCTATGGTCTGTGCATGGACAACAAGTCTTTCCTATATAATTGTTTAATCCTTCTTGCTCTTTAAAAGGCAATGCCTCATGGTCTAGGCTTATTATGGGGAAATCATCAGGCTTCACTCCAACAGTTCCACGGTGGGGTCTTGCATTTCCTGTCAAGGGGGCACTTGGTCCAGGGCTCTTTGTTTTCAAACTTTGGATTTATCTCCTTTCTCAGAACCACTCCTATCATATCATCCTACTAGCTTGCCAGGTTTCATGGGTGATGACTGCAGTAACAATTGAATTATCATGACCAAACAGATTCTCCCAACAGAATAGATGCTGCATCGCAAGGTTCTTTTGGATTGGCTCTCATTTTGAAACACTGATGATTGGTGGGTTGGCCACTCATTAGAACAACCAACTACTGGCAATTTAGTCTCCAGTACCTCACCTTTGGATTATGGAAATGGATGCATAGCCAATTCCTAGCCACTGGAGAGGTGGACTATGCAGAAACCTAACCAGTTGGGCATTGTATAGCTCCAAAGGAGTATCAATACAGTGAGAAGTGGGGCGATGGTGACACTGTTAGTATATTGCAGGTCACCTCTCATACACATCATTCATGTCATTTGTGCCCTTCTCCTGCACCCATGTTCACACTCCTACCATCCCTGCAACACAGGTGGCTTCCTCTTCCCTCTTTCATTTACAGGTGAATAGTATACCCTTGATGAGGTAAGATGTGGTCTCATACTGATGTGTCCCCATGGAGCCCCTGCCATAGGATGTCACACTCTTTGGACTTCCTTTGGGCACTTTCTGGAAGATGCTCATCTGGATACAATTTGCATCAGCCCTTCCACAAGCTCAATGTGGGATTCCAGCTAAACTGTATGTGTAGGTGTGGTATTGACTCAGAAGTTAATGTTTTCCTTACCTGAAAATGTATTTCTGATAGATACTCACCTCCATACAAATTCCCACCCAACTTCTTCACTTCCAGTGCACCTTTTTTTTTTCCTTGTATCATCAAAGAATAAAGTTTCATGAGTGCAAGTGTATAGGGGAAGCTATTGCACATGGAGGTGTGTCATCCTCCTATTGATGGAGGGCTTTTGTTGTATGATGATATCACCATGGAGTAGTGTAATTCATGTGAAATTTGGGGGGAATTGCCTTAAGGCTAATGGCATGCAAATCTCTGGCGGTTGCACAAGTAAGGTAGCTAAACTGTGTATGGAGCTGAGTATCTATTGGAAATACATTTTTTGGTAAGGAAAATATTAACTTTCACCAAATACTGGTTATTGTTAAAGAAAGGAGTTAAATGTGTTTTTATGACTGTGTTGGGATTTCTTGTGAGATTTACTGAGTGTGATATCATACAATGTATTTAAAAATTGACTAAAACTATACTGTTGGTTTTGCAGCAACGCAACTTGAGAAATAGAGAGAGACAGAAGCAGGCCCAGCTTCAGCAACAGCAGTTGCAAGTTTTGTCCAAAGCTGCCAAAGGACGAGAAAGGTAAAAGTGTAATTTTTTGTAAGCTACTTCATTCATCTTTCTGATTATAAGTAAACTAATGTTACAAAATAAAGTTTTTAGAAAATTAGATCACTGAGGATTATATTAAATTTATTAACAAAGATTATTTAAATCAGTAGATTATGTTGTTTCGAAGATGAAAAATTATAATTGTAGGATTTCACTGTATATAATAATGTATTAACTGCCATGAAGTATATGTGATTACAACTTCAACTAATCAAAAACTTCAAAATTTCAATGACTGATTAAAAATTTTTAAGACTATAAAACTACAACAATGTGAAGGAAAGGTGCACAGTGAAGTGTGCTAAAAGTATTGTTGAACAGGTAAGAGTCATTTGTCATAAAAGTAAATGTTAAACAATAAAAATAAATCTTACATGAAGTAAAAACTAAAATCAATTTTGTAATGTGATGTTTATAGATCCTTGAAAAGGATGTAAGCCAAAACATTGGGTAGAATAAAGAAATATTTATATGAAGTTGTTTGTTATCTTCATTGCAAATGGTTTTTATCATTCAGTCAGCACTGAAAACTTCAAAAAATAGGTTTTTAAAAATTTTTAGTTTACTATGTCATAGCTTATGTTTGGTAATTAGTAGACTAAAAACAGATCATTAACAGGGATAGACTTCAACAACAAAGAAAAATTCAGAAACAAATGAAACAGAAATATGATCATAAAGGACAAATAACTGTGAAGAACCGTGATGCATCTGTAATTGTTCGTCCAGATTGGCAAGTGATAGAAGAAATGGACTTCCCACGTTTGGGAAAACTCTCATTGCCTAGTATTGTAGAAGGCAAGGATATGTAAGTAAATTGAACGTAAATGAGAAATTAGATTTTCATCAGTTGAGTTAATTCTGTAGATTTATTTCAATCACTGATTTTTTTTTCTGACTGGGTTTTCAATGTTTTCTTTATGATATTTCTATATTTCATAACTATTTGTTAATAGATAATTGAAGCGTAAACCCATTTTTGTGGGTCTGGTTTTAAATGGCAAAAGCCAAATGACCTCACTGTAACATAATCTATCAGTAAAAAGTTTACAAATGTTGCCTTGTTATTCATAATGTCATTGATCTTATCAGAGTTTGTATACTGTAACTTTTAATATATCTTGTGTATTTTCACAAAATTGGGCAAGCTTTCAGTAACCATTATGTCTTTTATAGGCACAAAATCAGATTTCTTAATTATGTATTTTTACTAAAATTTTATCCTTTAACATGTGCAGACTACTTGGAGTGAAAATTGATTTTCATCTTAAGATTAAGTGTAATTTTTTTCATCTGAAAATTGTCAAATTTCATCTGTGTAATCTTTAAAATCTCCTAAATAAGTATTAATCATTTATTTTCAGTAAAACTTTATATTTTATCTGTGATTTTCTCTATCCTAACTCTAAACATATTCATTTGTTTTGACCAACTTTGTAACTGCCATAAAAAAAAAAGATGAAGTAAATCTAAATTACCCTTTTTTCTTTTTAGAATGACTACAACTTGTAACAGGAAACTATATTTGTTTATCCTAAATAGCTCGGCTCAGCATGGCCAGGTGGTTAGGGTGGTCGACTCGCAATCAAGTTTGAATCCCCCTTACATCAAACATTCTGGCCCTTACAGCTATGGGGGACATTATAATGTGACGGTCAATCCCACTATTCATTGATAAAAGAGTGGCCCAAGAGTTGGCAGTGGGTGGTGATGACTAGTTGCCTTTCCTCTAGTCTTACACTGCTAAATTAGGGATGGCAAGTGCAGATAGCCCTTGTGGCTTTGTGCAAAATCCATAACAAACAAACCTAAATAGCTTAACGGTACATGTCTGTTTATAATTTCTTTTATTGCCTTTGAAACATGTATAACTAATAATCCTGCCACACAAGGTTGTAAATCATTCAGCAAATGTGTAGCCGTATTGAATGACAACACACCAGCTGCTCTTGAGCATACCTTTTGAATAATTTTTATTATTATTTTTCATTATCTTGTCTGATCTAATAAGATTCTAATTTTTACATTTTAGTTATTTTTATAATAATAAATAAGGAATATACATAAAAAACAAGAAATATGTCACTTGAGACTTGTTGTTTTTGTGTTGTTGATTTATGATGACATTTTAGCCAACTTTTTTATGCTTATGGTACTAGTATACTAAATAACATTCATTTACTTAAATAATGCTCCTAAGAACACAAAATAATAATGTGCACAAAGCAAACATTGGCTTACAACTATTATAATATATCCAGCTTTCTAACTATGGCATAAAAGCCTTTACTTCTTACCTTAACGCTATCACCCCGGGTATTCTTTACTGCTCATGACACAAGGTTTTAGTGTCTTACATTCAAAATTTTATTATACAACTTTTTCTTTATGTTATACCAATTAGAATAGCATAATGTCTTCTGAACATGAAAGCATCAATTTCACTCCTAGTACAAGCTTTGTTCCCATGAGAAAGTTAACGATTAGCTTGGATGAATTTGTAATGGCTCTTGTAGCATAGTTCGAGGAGTGATGGATAAAATAGGGATGATGACATGCTAAGACAAAATGTGTCACGTGTGTTGCACTAGTGGAATTTCAGGATTTTTTTATATATTTTCTTGCAGAATTAAGAACTTAAAACTTGTGTACTATTAAAATATGGATTATTAGCTAAGATATTATGCTATTGTAATTGGTATAACATAAACAAAAAGTAGTTTAATAAAATTTTGAATGTAAGACACTAAAACCCTGTGTCATGCATGGTAAAGGGTACCTGGGCCGATAGGGTTAAACTGTAAAACATAAAATTTGTTTTAATGATTTCAGTAATTTTGCTGTCTAGAGCCAGTCATGAGTCCTTTAATATAATTGTTTTCATTGCCAGACTTGTTTATGTTTGTATAGTTAGTCCAGCCAGGATTTAGCTATATGTTGGGTTGGCTGGCATAGCCTTAGTCATTTTATCATTAAATACAGAAACATAATGGTTCAGTCAAAAAGTACAAAAAAAATAAGAGCATTGCAAATAATTAAAAACAACAACAAACAAACAAGAAAACTAATATTAAGAGAATATTTTGAATGAAATATTTTTAATACTTCTAATCGAGTGTTGTTGTTGATATTTAGATGGAAATTAGAAATGCTTAGTTAAGTGAACAATATTTTCTGCTACATGTTGTAGCATTGCCAAAGAGCTTGAGCCATGAAGTGAAATGTGAGGTATGTATTCTATCACAGCTCACCATTAATTATCTAATATTATAAATGAACACCCTGATGCAAATCATATAGCCAAGTTATTCCACTAATTGTTCTTAGTAGAGCTGGTCAATTCACTTGATTAATCTATATAATTGATTACCTGTAAGCATTGGTAACATTGATTATTGTCACGTAAAATAATCAGGTAATCAAAATTATGATTAAAGAGATTAATGTAACAAGAATAATTGACTTATTGAAGTGTTTTAGATTACCACAGTTCATGATTATTCCAACAATCCAAGTAATCAAAATATTAGTTAGTACTACATCCATTGGTGGGACTGTGGGAAATGCATGCATGCATTCTTCTTGTATACAACTTGTGTATCTGAGGGTGTGGCTGTTGGTTACATAACTAGGCAAAGTGATGTCTGTTGTTTGAGTTTATCTTGCATGGCTAAATAATAGTGTAACTTACAACAAACTACAAATAACCAGTAATTTAGTGTAAGATTGTTATAATAAAAAAAAAGTTCTGGCAAGTTAATATTCATTATTACTTATTTGCTAAAACATTTTGATTACGTAATACTTTGCTCATTTAACTTTGTCAAACATTACTAGACATGAACTACTAACAGTCTAACAATATGTAACACTGTCAAGTTGTTAAACTATTTACATGAACAGGACTCCTGTTTAATTTACAGTTTGCTCTAGCTAGATAGGAGCCATTAAGATGCCAAAACAAAAGTCTTGCATAATTAGGTACTGCTTAAACTCTGTCTGTTATAGCTTTGTTTATTTATTTCTCTGCATGCACATGTATTTTTACAGTTACCTGAAGCCTTTACTGTAAAATGTAAACATTAATCATTTTAATGTGTTATTTAAGATCTTTTTTTGCAATATCAACAACTATTTACTCAAAGGCTTATGACATTTTTCTTGTTTATAAATTTGTTAATTATTTTTGTTATTCACATTGATTATGGAATCAGAAAAAAACATAAATGTTGGTAATTAAAGATTTTTTTATCTTATTGTGATTTTAATATTTTTTATAAATACTTCAGTTTCCACCTTATGAATGCAAGAAAGGTCATCCAGTGTCATCACATTTCTTGCCAAATAGAAAATGTTATACTGTCTTTGTTTTCTAGGATCAGTGTGAATTAGTTTTCACTGAATTATATGTTGTTTATTACACACTTTGGCAAGAATCTTTAGTAGTTTTATCACATGAAATCTAAGGATAATTGTTTTTAGCAGAGAATTAGTTTTAGTACAGTAGTCTTGTGAAAATTTGTAGGAAGAAACCCTTGGAAAGGTATTGTTTTTCCAGCTGGATGCAGGTTTCATACTATATTGCATATATGATATATTTACATGTATAACAGTTAGAGCTGTGAAATTAATGGAAATCGCAAGTTGATTGATCAACAGGTTCATTAATTGATTAGTACATGAACGTCGTCTTCATGATTTATTGGGAGTGTAGTTTATTTGTGCAGAATTTTTTTTTATCACACAAACTTTGCAAATGAATTACTAGTGTCAGCTAAACATCACTACTATGCAGTCACCATTGTTTCCTTTTGAAATATATATATAGTAATCCCACATTAATCTTCTCTGAATAAAATGATGGAGACATTTAACATTTACTATGACCATTCACCAATAAGGTTAAGATTGTTTTTATTAAAAAAAGTTGTGTTTATGTTTTTTGAATAACATAAACATAAAAATATTATTCAGTAAAGATTTCAGTCATCAGAATATTGTGCACTTATCTACCATGCTTGGTATGTCATCAAATAGTAAACTTAACTAACCTTATGTGATAAACATAGTAAATAAAATAGCTTATGTTTGCAAACATTAAAACTCAATAAAACCTAGAATATCTATTGAAAAATAAAAACACAATAATTTTAAACAAAGAACCAGTAATCAACAAGATGCCTTTATTAAATCTTAATAAATGTCCATTCTTATGACTTCTTTGTTTCGTATTGTGTATATATCTTCCTGTGTCTACTTGTACTTAATGGTCATAAAACCTTCTCCAAACATTGTACATTTTCCACTGTATTAAACTTATAATGATTTATAAGCTTGCCTTATTTCAAGTTGTATGACCTCTTCCCATTAAAGAAAATTTGATGTGCTCAGATGTGGTTTCCTCTGCTCTGGCCCTTACTGGAGTGACATTCTCTGCAATTACCTCTGTTCCAGTCTCTCCTCCAACAACTGCAATCAAACGTGGTTCATTCCGACATCACCAAACTCTATCTCCATACATGGCTTTTGTTCGGTCTCTTGCCTCAGCTCAGGGACTCTGCCCTTGCATTGTGTCTTTCTTTTTCCATTCCATTCGACTTTCTTCCTTGTCTGTGTATCAGAGGCAAGTTATAGGGCTGCCTTGTTTAACACTTTCTGATTCTCTTCTTTATGGAAAGCTTTCTCCTCCTCTGTTATTTCCCTCATTTTCCATTCATTTTGTCCCACCTCCATGGCCCTTTGTCTTGCCATATTGGATCTCAGTTTTGTCCTTCATGCCCTGTCCAGTTCTCCATTTGAACCCATGGCTACCTGTTCTTTGTACCATCTTTCCCTTACATCTTCTTCCTCCTCCTTGCTTGCAGTCACTGTCATTCTGATATTTATGCCATGGACGTTTCCTGCATCCTTTCTCTTTCCTCTTATGTTATTCTCTATTCTGATTGGGCCTTCCTTCCCTAGACATCTGCTGCTCAGGCAGGTGGTTTGGCCTTCTCTCCTATTTTCTTACCTTCCATTTCCCACCTGTACACCTGTTTGGTTTCGGATAGACTTCTTTGTCTGGTTTGTTCCCTGAGATGTTATATGGCTCTTACTGTCTCCTTTCATGTTATTGTTTCCATCTATTTGATCCAATGATTCTCTCTGTCTCCTATTGCACTCACTGTTTGGGCTTGTCAACTCATTCAACTGGCATATTCTGACTTGTCTATGGAAGGTTGCCATCTGTACAATGTTTCTTTGCACCCAATTCATCATCTAACTTTATCTTTAGCTGCTTGTCTTCACCATCTTTTGGAGGAGATTGTTCACATTATCTGCATGACCTGGCCGTGTTTCCTCAGGCAGGTATCGTCTTCCTCCTGTGGCAGTTGTACATGTCTGTTTGTCTTTGCCTGGGGTAAGTGGCAGGTGTTGTTGCCTGGTCAGATATGCTTCCATATTATATTTGTACTAGATATGAATAATTCTATAATGCTCACTATTGAGATGGGGTGTTTCTGTAAGATCACTGGTAGCTTGTCCAGCAGTATGTGTATTTATATTATTATTTTTTTTTTTACAAAAAGTTACTAGTTTCATTTATAAAGGACTGTCTCTGCTGACTTGTGATTCTTACAGTTGGGGTCTATCTGGTTTTAAAAATAGGGAATTGCAGACACTCACTGTATTGTCTCCATTGTGTCGTTCCTCAGGACACACTAACACGTATTACTCCCCCTCTCCAAGTGGAGCATGGGAGTCCTTGCCACTTCCGGTTTCCAGTCACTGGAGTGGTGGACTGTGGACATTTCCTCCTGAATGGGATTTTAAAAACAGAATAGAGCCTTCTAGTCCATGTGTATCCACTCAGCGAGAAGAGGACTATAGTTGGTTATAGTCAACACAATATCAAACAACGAATTATACAATAATATTCAGTATCCAAGGCACTTCCTCCAGATGTTCTTGCCCAGGCAGACTGCACTTGTTGATATCTATATCTTATGCAAGGCACTTTCACTGAATGTTTTTGCCCAGGTTGACCACACTTAGCATGATCCAATGTACCCCAAGGCACTTCCCCTGATTGTTTTTTGCCTGGACGGACCACACTTGACCTATTCAAATACATTTCATGGTCCTTAAGGTCTAGCCACTTATTGTTATTTTATTTATCTTTCTAGATCTTTTACCATCACTATGTTCATACTATGTCCTATTTCTTACGATGGCTTGTTATGACGTGGATGTGGACAGAGGGCCAGTTATGATGACCCTCATGATCACACTCATAACAGTAATTTATATCTTTCATAATCCTACGTATCTAAGATGCTTCCCCTGGATGTTTTTGCCCAGGCAGACTGCATTTGTTGATTACTATATCTTATACAAGGTGTTTCAGCTGGATGTTTTTGCCCAGGCAGACTGCATTTGTTGATTACTATATCTTATACAAGGTGTTTCAACTGGATGTTTTGCCCGGATGAACTGCACTTTGTGTAATCTGATGTAACCCACAACACTTCCCTTGGTACATACATATCTTATACAAGGTGTTTCAGCTGGATGTTTTGCCCTGATGGACTGCACTTGGTGTAATCTGATGTAACCCACATACTTCCCTTGATACATACATATCTTATACAAGGTGTTTCAGCTGGATGTTTTGCCTGGATGGACTGCACTTGGTGTAACCTGATGTAACCCACAATACTTCCCTTGGTACATACATATCCTATACAAGATGTTTCAGCTGGATGTTTTGCCCGGATGGACTGCACTTTGTGTAATCTGATGTAACCCACAATACTTCCCTTGGTACATACATATCCTATACAAGATGTTTCAGCTGGATGTTTTGCCCGGATGGACTGCACTTGGTGTAATCTGATGTGACCCACAACACTTCCTTTGGTACATACATATCTTACACAAGGTGTTTCAGCTGGATGTTTTGCTCAGATGGACTGCACTTGGTGTAATCTGATGTGACCCACAACACTTCCTTTGGTACATACATATCAGAGAAAGTGGTTTCATACACACGAGCCTTTCCATGTTAGTCAACACCATACTGATGTCCTAGTTATTCATCACTTACTACACTGATTCAGTGCTGTACGTATCTTTATTGACTTCATTGGTGCCTGTCAATTCAGTTCTGCCCAATTGTATTACTGTATTGATTGCTGGGTGAAGAGTGTACTGATACAAAAGTAGTGCTGTGCTCCACTGATGTGTTTTTTTTTCATATTGTAGCACACTTGTTCTTTCAGTGAGGTCTCTTTCCACTTGTTTTGAGATTGATTTGCTTTCACTGGCCCCTCCATCTTGACTGTGTGGGATTATAGCTTTGGGTGAATGGAGGTAGTACCATTTAGGAAGTTAACATTTTCTTACTCTGAAAATGTATTTCTGATAGGTACTTGCCTCCTTTCGCCCACTTCCCACATTTTTTTCCCACTGAGATGCTAGTGTTTATGGTTTGTGCTTGCCAATTCTCAAAAGTGAGGATTGTTCTAGAATAGTAGATAGAGCTAACTGTGTCAGTATAGAGGGTGCAGTATGATTGGTGGAGAATAGTCACATAATCAGCACATGTTCTGAAATGGTGCAAAACTGATGAGGTATAAAGACTGGTGTTCTGTAGCAAAATGTTTTAGCAATGCTTAGAGGGCAGACCAGAACTGAGATAGCTTTGGGCAAGAAGAGGTAAGTAGTGATCGGAAAAACATTTTCAGAGTAAGGAAATGTTAACTTTCATCAGTAACTAATCAAACCATACCACAAGAAGATTTCAACCAAGGTCCAAGCTTGTACAGAAACTAGGGGAAATGGATAATATATTCTCAAGGGATGATAGGTGAAAATAAAGGATTTCTTTGGGATGGACAGAAAAATTCTAAAAAAAATTGACAAGTGGATTGTTTTATTTATAGGCAAAACTGTCTGTAGTTCAGTGGAATTGAAAATGTGAATTTTTTTTCTTCGTGAATTACAGTAAAATGTCAAAAAAGTGACAAAATATTTTTGAATTAAAATTATTGAATTATATTTAGAATTAATATATAAAATTGACTTTATAATTTATGTCTCAACAATTTTAACTATTGGTAAAAAATATGAAATGCCCAAGGAAACCTTGTTTTAAGGCACAACCATTTAGAATTAAGTTTTTTTTTTCCAGTCCTAAACTTTGCACATGAAAATCAGCCATACACAAGGCAACTGCATTGCTTAAAATTTAGAAACTATAAAATATTCACTTACCAGTAACCTTTTGCACCAATCCTGTAAAGTGTGTGCACTTTTCCAGACTTGTTATTCTGGACAATTCAGTATTGATTTACATGTTTCTAAGCATGTTTTTGACAATTTTGAGGTCTTAACTGTTGTGTCTGATGTTACAAACATAACACATACACAAAATAACAGTGTAAAAGAAAAGAAAATGTATAGTTTATTTAAAATTACAGAAAATAAGAAATATAACACAGTATTGAATAGAAAGTACAAACATAAATATCAATGCTTAAATCCTCAAACAACAAAATAACAATTTAACATCAGTCTCTTAAAAGTTTTAATCACTAGTTTCTAGTTTTCACAAAAAGTTAACAATTAACAATGAATATTTCAGCTAAGGAAGGTTAACATGATAACATTCTCCGAGTCTAATGAGGCTTGACGGACATTCAAAATATAACCTGTACCACTAAATAACCTTTCTGAAGAAGTGCTGGTTGCTAGAATTGCAAGATACTTAACTGCAAATGTGGGTCACCTTGTAGATATAGTGAGTGGTCATGTATATATTCATCACTTGTTTTTCAGCAATCATTTCAGGAGGTCTGTTTTTGTATACATTTTATTGTAAATAGATGTCACAAGCTTTAAACTATAAGCTTTCTTTTCCTTCATGAAGTTTTTGCAAATTTTGTTTTGTGGTTGTGCAAAAATGGGTTCTGTTTTTGCATGTTTTGCAATTTCTGCATTACACAAAAAATGTTTTGTCTAAATATGAGATTAATATAATTGTTTTCTGATCCTAACCAGATTGCTCATGCTAGTGTATCTTAGATTTATTATAATATTATCAGAACTAAAGTATGTATAAAATTTGCAATTTGTGTTTGAAATTATTTTGTAGATATTTTCCAGTGACAGATGTAAACATTTATTTCATGCACAGACTAAAAGGTGATATAGTTTTATACAATAAAACTTACATTATTAGAACAGTATCACTAGTTTTATCAATAAAATATTTGACATTTTATTTTTACCAGGTGTATCTCTTTCTTATAGTTCACTAATTATTAGTGGATCTTTTTTTCATATGAATCTTGAAAAGCACTCCTTCTGGAAAACTAAAGTTTTATGATAAATATTTTCTTATAGTTATACATGTGGAGCTGTAGAGTTTTATGTGAAGAGCAATGATCGTATTACTTGTAGAAGTGAGAAAAGGCTTCAGAGGATTAATCGCATTTTTCACAAAGTGACTACAACTGATGATCCCATTATTCGACAGGTGTTGTCTTTAAACTTTTCTTCAGAAATTGTATAAGTAATAAATTTTTAAGATATGTAACTGTTTTGAATAATTTTTGATAAGCAAGTATACAGAATGAATGAAAATGAATGTGAACCTCTTCATTTGTGTGTGTATATATATATATAATTTAAGGTTAATATATAAAGAAAAACATCCTAATTTAACTGCATGTTCTTGTTTTGGAATATTTGTTTTATAATGTGAATATAACTCACATGGATAAAGAAATTAAGAGACTACATAATTTCCATCTTAAACATTTGCCATTTATATTTTGTTGTCTTCTTGAAATTGTTTTTCTTCAATCTGTTTTGTTTTTTCTCCTGAAAACCATGTTGTAATGTTTCAGCTAATCACCCATATCCAATCATTAATGTGCTCTTTATTTCCCAAGTTCTTGAAAAATAGTATTTTCAACTACAAGCTATATACCTTCATACAATTATCCAACAGTGTTTATTTCTAATCAACAAAGTTTCATTTCTTGTATCATATGAATCTAATAGGTTTCAGGTATTTATTACTACTTAAATAACTTCGTGACCATTCAGGTTCTCATATAGTTTCAGTAATATAATTATTTTCATGATATGAACTTTAGAATTATTTTCATTCTTGTCTTGTATTTTTGATGTGTGTTGGTAAAATGACAACAGTTTGATAAAGCTTTTATCAAACTAAAAAAAATTAAGTTCTTTTACTTCATTTCAGCTTACAAAAACAGAAGGAAATGTTTTTGCAACTGATGCTATTATTGCAACACTGATGTGTGCTACACGTTCTGTGTATTCTTGGGATATAGTTGTTCAGGTAAGTTAGGTGTCTGTAACAAACCAGATGCTCTCTACAAATATCATACAGGTATTCTGGTTATTAACTGTGTTAAAATTTGCATTATATATAACTGTTTCACTTGGTATATTAATGTAAGACCATTTTACACCACTAGATTCACATGTACTTATCTAAAGGGGATGAAGCAAATCTGTTTTTTCATATTGTAGTATTTCAACGTAGTAGTTGTACAGATATGTTTGTGCTTCTCGTAATGTATATATTATTATTATATATTTAATATACATTACTGAAACCATGCCCCTTATGAGAGCTAAGTTTTAAGGAGCCTTTTTGATCAGATTTATTATACATCTAAATTGGGTTTATTTTTCATGATTTTTGTGTTTTACTCAACCAGCTAAAAGACATTTGATATTATGCTATTTATTTACAGCATACATTAATTTTAGATACTAGCTTTGCTATCTTCTACATTATGTTTAATCATAACTTTCTCTCCTTTTTTACCTTTGATAGCTTTGTTCTCATGTAATTTGAAGAAATGTTTTCAGTTATAATCTTTATATTTTCAGAGAGTAGGAAACAAACTTTTCTTTGATAAAAGAGATGACTCTGAATTTGGTAAGTTATGTATATGATAAAACACCATACATATATTTGTTTCAAATATCACATGATCCTTAAACATAAGTAATTTGTCATTTTTTAAAACCTTGATGAATATTGTGAAGAAAGGAATAATAGTTGTGTAATAGATAAAAACAATTTGATCTTTTTTTTATATGAAGAACTGTACCATACATTAAAATGACTGAATGTAAAAACATAAACTTTTAGTTTTAATTTTAGCTTTGATATATATATATATATATATAT